CAAGTATAAAGTTATTTGGTTAGTTAAGGTCATATGTCAACTTCGATGCATGTGAGTGTGTCTGTCTCTGCATGTGTATGTGCCTGTTTGTGTTCGCTTATGCACGAAACCCACAGTGATGGCTCAAAGTAAGTAGGACAGCAAAAAGGAACGTCTTTTTTTGGCCATCAAGGGTTTATGACCCCTATCTCTCTCTTTCTACATTTAAGTTGTACCCATCACTCCGATTACGCAATGTCGGACGCTCGTCTGGTTTTGTTGATGAGCCTTTTTTTTGTTTTTGGTCTCAATGCGAGAGAGACGGAGTGAGCTAAAAGTACAGAGAAGTGACTGTGCTTAGAACCAACACAAGAAAAGACTAGTTGCGTCGCCTCTTTTTTGCAGGCGGCTCAACTCCCTCTATACTTCAGTCTATTAATTAAGCACAAGTAATTTTTACTTAACTTCTTATCGGTATTCCTTACATTCAATGTATTACCTATTCGGTTTATTTCGATGGCTTCACTAATTTTACGTTTAGCAGCAGACATGCCATAATCAGCAAAACGACAACTTTGAGATCATTCAATCTCGTGTCCCGTTTCTGGCCTGTGCTCAGCAAGCTCCGATTTTTGAACCCAACAGCTTCTGCAGACGCTTTTGGGTTCAGCCACCTTTTGTCGAATGGGACGACAAGTCTTTCCAACATAAAAGCGACCACATTAACACATTATTTTGTAGCAACCCGATCTGAATAATGGGTCAACTTTCTCTCTAAAAGTGCGAATAACTGAAGAAAGTGTCATAGTTTCCCTGAAGACCGTTTTTATTCCTCACTTCCTTACTTGTTCACTTCTCCCTTTAGAGAGAATGCACGAATGCACATGAGAAAAGGTCTCCTTATCTCTGCTTAAGTATTTATCATTCAAACAGCTATTCTTTATTAATCTAATGTTATTTTTAATTAAGCCTAGAGGATAATTATTCCCAAGAAATATTGTTTTATGCCGATCCAGTTCATTTTCACAATGGCCTCTATCAGATGTTCTAATGCTCCGAATAATCGTAGATTTTAAAACTCTAACCTTTGTTTTGTAACTATGATTGGAGAAGAAGTTTAGTATAAAGCCAGCATGCATAAGCTTTCAACAAACGTCCCTGCTTAACTTCTCACCTCTGATCACTGAGACCTCTAAAAAGAATTACTTAGCCTCTAATCAATCACTTAGATGCAGGGGATCGACGAATTACGCCTAGAATGGCACAGATGGGGGGCAGGGGTCGAGTGAAATACATGTTCGAGGGAGATAGCAGACGAATTCTACGGGGCAAGAGGGAGACTTTGATAGGACCCATGAAAGGACTACGTAACAATATGATAGACTCTGGTAAACATTCCTAGCACAAGGGTCAAGGGGGTGATAACGACAGTGTGGAGTGTGAAGGGTTTTCATGAATGCCGCTCAAAGGAGCACACCACACTACATTTAAATATGCACGGTAAAAAATTGTGACAGGAAGGCATGATAGGAGAATATAGGAAATGTGAATAGGCCACGGCAGAAAGGGAGATACAACAACTGTTTAGCACACATTTGGTCAAAGGATGTGCTTCACTTGTCTCTTTGACGAGTTTTAATATGGTGCTACGAATGGAGAGACTCACTGACGATACCGGCAAAACGTCTGAGAATGTACCACGTCAAAGGTCCTACTCTTGAAATCATGATGCATACAATGAAATCCGGAATAGGTGCGTTCCTATAAGTCTTCCTACGAATATGACCGAGTTGCGAAAAGAAGGTCAAACAATTTCTCGAGAAAGTCTTTTTGCAAAAACACCAAAGAAAGCGATTGTTTAGTCCTTGTTTTGGTTCTAATCAGGTCGTGTAATTTATCTATACTTTCTTTGAGTCTAGTCTTAACCTGCAAAATGGAGGTAACTCAACTAGTCTTTTCTTGTTAGAGGGACTTTCAGTTCTAATCATAGTCACTTATTTATACTTTTAACTCACTCTTTCTCTCTTGCATGACGACCAAAAATAAAAAGGCTCATCATCTTTGACTAAATAGTCAAATATAAATAGTTTTTTTGACTCGTTAGCTTGAATTTGGTTGTGTCGATGATACCTTGCTCTGATGATTCTCGTCATATAACAGACGAAAGCTTAGCACCTTTTCACCGGAATCGAAGGAGTTGACCTCGGAAACAGCGGCAGCATGAATGTTCCAGTAGAGCCAATTGACAGCTGTTCAAGTGGAATCCGCCGTCGTCTTCTGGTGGAATCGACCTTCGAATTTTTTCACTAAACACTTTTACTCCAAATGGAAGTAAGTTCAACTATTACGAAATAAGAGATTTCTCGAAACCCAACTTTTCTTCGCATATACTAAGTTTGCTATGTTCGATTGCAATATATGTATATATACATTTATGACTAAATGCTACATTTTGTGGCTTTCTATGGTTTTTTGCAGCTTTTTTATTTATTTGCGAATTTGAAGTGGGCATACTTACACAAAAATTGATCAAGTTTAATGGAAATAAATGAGTGGCAGAAAGTTGTTAAGAGTCATGATTCTTAAAGATAGTGATTTGGGGTTTTAATTTGTTGCTGAGGCCCGATTAGTATTAAAAGATTTCTAGGCTCTAAAATAATCATGAGCACTTTCCTATTTGGGGATAATTTGTCAGTTTTTATACTAGTAATAGAAATATTTGTTTGTTTGGTTTTTTCCTCTAGCTACAACTTAACAATGTGCTCATGGATGAGTTGCCTTCTTTAACTTCGCAAGCGGTTTAGATCAGAGCTGCATTTCAATTGGTAAACACTGTTCCAGTAGGCGAAAGTAGACTTCTGCTCCTCTTGTAAGCTGCCCTAGATCTTGATTTATATTTATCATCATTTGTTTAGCTGAGAAGAAGTTTCCTATGAGTGCCTTTTTCATCCCATCATCAGTTTTCGACATCCTTGGAGTCAAATCTGATGAAACTATACTCTGGTTATCCTGATGGATTTCTCATATTTCTATAAAATTGTCACGGTAGTCACTGCCCCGTAGTGTTGCTTTAAGGGTACCAACTTTTCCGTGATTATATCACTACTACATAATTTCTTAATTGGATCAAATATGGCTTTAACTAGTCGCATTTTATGTTTTGATGGGACTCCAATTCTATAGATATTATACTCATGATAGGTAGGCTTCGAGACAAGAACTTTTGTTTAGGATATTTTCTTGCCCAAGTTTTTCTTCCAAAGATCGAATCTTTCAGAGCTTCATCTTGGACAAGTGTTGGTAAGGCATCCAAGTGGCTGGTTGATCCTATTTTTCTTGTTTACTGGTCAAACTGACCTCAAATTCACAGGAGGTAAACATATTATTACTATTTTCGCTCTTCTCTTTTTCATTAACTTTGCTCGTTTTGAATTCGATAATCAAGAAAATACATCACATCTTTATATTCTATTACTTTGTTTTTCTATACACATTTTTACTGTTTACTTTAGGAGCTAGAGAGCACTTGTCAACTAGTGATTGAACACATTTTGTCCGCCAAGGCAGTGCAAGCCGAGTCTGTTGGCCTGCCGCCGGTCTTAGTAAGGCGGCCTGTGGCCAATAAGCAGCGCCGCCCACTTTCGGCCTCCGCTTCTGCCCAAGGTGCTGTCGCCACTGAGGACTCGGCCCGCATAAGTCTGATCGGTCGTCCTCCATCCTCTTTGTCGGAAGCTAATCTGGCCAGGGCAAAGCGAAGTTTCATCACTTACATACGAGCAAATCCACCGAGTCATCTGGACCAAGGAGTAGAGAAACAACGTCAACTGGCTGGGCTTTTTCTGCGCTTTCTTGACAGCTGACTTAACTTTTCAATTATGCTTTTCGAGAGTCAATTTAACAAATTCATTGTTTGATGAACTCAAATCCCATTGTCAGGATTGCAGACTTATTGTTTCATGAAATACCCTTACATTTCAATTCCCAGTGTAATACAGAGAGAAAGCCAATTGTAATTAGTTGTCCTACTTTTCTCAAAACTGGCTCGCTTTTACACGAATTCAGGGGTTTTCATTATTGACTGGATGGCAGTGTACAAAATCAGTATTACTAATATCTTCCTCTGTTTGTTCCATATGTGCATATTCTCTGTCATATCTCTTGCTCACTCGGGCAACAAATGTGAACACTTGGCCTGACAATGGGTGGAATTAAGCCTAATTAAATGTGTGTATTTTAAGACATTTTCTTTGATACTTATTGCATATTTTAATCCGTTTATAATACCATTTGAAGGCCATCTTTTGTAAAAATCTTTTCTCGGCTAACCTGTGAAAG